GTTCTACTGATGGTGAGTTTCTAGAGGTGGCGGCGGTGGTAGTTGCTTGTGGTAGTTGTACTGTTTCTAGCTGTAGTGGTGGTTTAAGTTTCTAGCGGTGATGATTGTGAGTTTTATAGTGGTAGTTTGTAGTGGTTGTATTGTGAGTTTCTAGTGGTAGTGGTGGTGAATTTCTAGTAGTAGTTGTTCTGTTTCTGGTGGTAGTGAGTTTCTAGCAGTAGTTGTACTGTTTATAGTAGTAGTGGTAGTGGGTTTCTAGTGATGTTTAGTTTTAGTGGTAGTTGTACTGTTTTAGTAGTAGTGGTAGTTATACTGATTCTATTAGTAGTGAGTTTCTAGGGTAGTCAGTTTCAGTGGCAGTTGTACTGTTTTTAGTGGTAGTGAGTTTCTAATGGTAGTCAGTTTCTGGTGGTAGTGAGTTTATAGTAGAATCAGTTTCTAGTGGTAGTTGTACTCTTTCTAGTGGTTGTGAATTTCTAGTGGTAGTCAGTTTTTAGTTGTAGCTTTACTGTTTCTAGTGGCAGCAGTGGTGAATTTCTAGTTGTAGTTGTACTGGTTCTAATGGTGGTGGTGGTGGTGAGTTTCTAGTGGTGGTGGTAGTGAGTTGCTTGTGTTAGTTTTACTGTTTCTAGCTGTAGCGGTGGTAAGTTTCTAGTGCTAGTGATTGTGGGTTTCATAGTGGTAATTTCCAGTGGTAGAGGTGTTGAATTTCTAGTAGTAGTTGTACTGTTTCTAGTGGTAGTCAGTTTCTAGTGGTAGCTGTACTGTTTCTAGTGGAAGTGGTAGTCAATTTCTAGTAGTAGTTTTGGTTGTAGTTTTACTCTTTCTAGTGGTAGTTGTATTGTTTTTAGTGGTAGTGGTGGTGAGTTTCTAGTAGTAATCAGTTTCTAGTGGTAATGAGTTTCTAGAGTAGTTGTTCAGTTTTTAGTGGCAGTAAGTTTCTAGTGGTAGTGGTGGTGGGTTTCTATTGGTAGTGGCGGTGAGTTTCTACAAGTAGTGAGTTTTAATTTTTAGTTGTTATATTTCTAGTAGTTGTGATCTTATATTGATAGTTGTATTGTTTCTAGTGGTAGTGATGGTTACTTTTAGTGGTAGTTGTACAGTTTTTGGTGGTGGGCGTGAGTTCCTACTGTGAGTTTCTAGTGGTAGTGAGTTTCTAGTGGTAGTGAGTTTCTAGTGGTAGTGAGTTCCTACTGGTAGTAGTGGTGATGAGTTTTTAATGTTATTGAGTCTTTAGTGGGAGTCGAACTGTTTCTAGTGTTAGTCAGATTTTAGTGGTAGTGGTGGTTAGTTTCTAGTGGTAGTTTTACTGTCTCTAGTGCTGGGTAGTGGTAAGTTTCTAGTGGTAGTTGTACTGTTTCTAGTGCTCGGCAGTTTTATGTTTCTAGTGGTAGTTGTACTGTTTTCTAGTGCTGGGTAGTGTGTAAGTTTCTAGTGCTAGGTAGTGGTTAGTTTCTAGTGGTAGATGTACTGTTTTCTAGTGCTTGGTAGTAGTAAGTTTCTAGTGGTAGTTTTACTGTCTCTAGTGCTGGGTAGTGGTAAGTTTCTAGTGGCAGTTGTACTGTTTCTAGTGCTCGGTAGTGGTATGTTTCTAGTGGTAGTTGTACTGTTTTCTAATGCTGGGTGGTGGTAAGTTTCTAGTGGTAGTTGTACTGTGTCTAGTGCTGGGTAGTGATACGTTTCTAGTGGTAGTTGTACTGTGTCTAGTGCTGGGTAGTGGTAAATTTCTAGTGGTAGTTGTACTGTTTTTAGTGGCAGTTGTGCTGTTTCTAGTGGTGTTGAGTTTCTAGTGGTAGGTGTACTTTTTCTAGTCATAGCAGTAGTGAGTTTCTAGTGGTAGTGGCGGTGAGTTTCTACAAGTAGTGAGTTTTAATTTGCAGTTGTACTATTTCTAGTAGTGGTGATTTTCTATTGATAGTTGTATTGTTTCTAGTGGTAGTGGTGGTTACTTTCTAGTGGTTGTGAGTTATTAGTGGTAGTTGTACAGTTTCTAGTGGTGGTGTTGAGTTTTTAGTGGTAGTGGGTTTCTAGCGGGAGTGAGTTTCTAGTGGTAGTGGTGGTAAGTTTCTAGTGGTAGTGAGTTAGCAGTAGTGGTGGTGAGTTTTTAATGTTATTGAGTTTTTAGTGGTAGTTGTACTGTTTCTAGTGGTAGTGGTGGTGAGTTTCTAGTGTTAGTCAGATTTTAGTGGTAGTGGTGGTTAGTTTCTAGTGGTAGTTGTACTGTTTTCTAGTGCTGGATGGTGGTTAGTTTCTAGTGGTAGTTGTACTGTGTCTAGTGCTGGGTGGTGGTAAGTTTCTAGTGGTAGTTGTACTGTGTCTAGTGCTGGGTAGTGGTAAATTTCTAGTGGTAGTTGTACTGTATCTAGTGCTGGGTAGTGGTAAATTTCTAGTGGTAGTTGTACTGTATCTAGTGCTGGGTAGTGGTAAGTTTATAGTGGTAGTTTTACTGTTTCTAGTGCTGGTGGTGGGGGTGGTGAGTTTCTAGTGGTGGTGGTAGTGAGTTGCTTGTGTTAGTTTTACTGTTTCTAGCTGTAGCAGTGGTAAGTTTCTAGTGGTGGTGATTGTGAGTTTCATAGTGGTAATTTCCAGTGGTAGAGGTGTTGAATTTCTAGTAGTGGTTGTACTGTTTCTAGTGGTAGTGAGTTTTTAGTGGTAGCCAGTTTCTAGTGGTAGTTGTACTGTTTCTAGTGGAAGTGGTAGCGAGTTTCTAGAGGTAGTCAGTTAGTAGTGAGTTCAAATGGAACCAAGGAATCAACTCTGGCATAAAAAGCTGCATCTCTCTAAGTATAACTATACAATTATACAGGGCAAAACATTTTTATTCCTGCATTTACTCAAACCCCTAATATCCCAGCTGTTGATCAAAAAAGAAGTTGAATACTGACTAATCAGAAATACCAATCACTTGATCATTGTCTTATTTTATCTAATTTTTTCTTCTGAATAAAAACTGTTCTATCATATAAAAAATAGCAGTCTGTGTTTAATACACAATGTAACACACACAATATAATATGAGATTTATGTGTCCAACTCTGGTGTCAACTAGGTCTCAACATCTTTCTAGGAACTGCTTTGGAGGCAGGCAAAGAGAAAGAGGTAGCCACTCTACCCCATAAGTTGTGGTCACTCCACCTCATAAGTTGTGGCAACTCCACCTCATATGTTGTGGCCACTCCACCTCATACGCATGGCTACTCCACCTCATATGCTGTGGCCACTCTTTCTTACAGGCTATGCCACTCCACCTCATACATTGTCACCACTCTACCTCATACGCTGTGGCCACTCCACCTCATACGCATGGCTACTCCACCTCACATGCTGTGGCCACTCTTTCTTACATTCTGTGGCCACTCCACCTCATACACTGTCGCCACTCTACCTCATATGCTGTGGCCACCACCTCCTACTTTGTGGCTACTTCACCTCATATGTTGTATCCACTACACCTCACATGCTGTGGCCAATACACCTCACATGTTGTGGCACAAAATATGTGAAGGCTTAACAAGAACGCATACCCTTAAGGCAGTAACCGCTATAGCATTACTTTGACCTTGTGCTGAATGCCCCCTGGATGTGGTGGATGTGGGTTAAGCTTACAGCTTGCACCTGTAGCTAGCTGTGTACTTCATTGTTTGTTACCTAAGCCTACCAGCTAAGAACACACTTGTTGTATCCAGGAACTCATCTCATTCTTATCCACCTAGTGTTTACTGTAATCTGTTCCGGCAATGTGCAGTGTTGCTGACGACAGACAGATGCAGTCGTCTCTCCATGCCAGCTATCATATCATTGAAGCCATGACAACAGTTGTCTGAACACTGCCACTACCACTGATCTTTACATAAAGTGTTACTGTATGTTTTATATTCTCATTTTCTGGATTCTTGCCTCCTTTTTTGTTTTATTGACCACATCTGACAAATGCAAACCAGTTACATTTGTATACCGTTTATGCAACTAACTGTTTTCTAAAGTATGTGTGATTAATACAAGTTATTAACAGAAGCTGCAGGAGTTTCAAGGGAAGACAGAATATGAAATCACGAAATCAGACGAATGCTAGAAACAAAGCCAGTCTTACAGGTCATCAAAGAACAACAAATTAAGTGGTTTGGACATCTAACAAGAATGCCCTGGTACTATCGTAAAGATAGTAAAGAGCGAGCGGAAGACCTCGGAAAAATATGAAGTGATGGCATTAAGAACAGTCCTACTGAAATAAACATCAATCTTAAAAGTACCCTTGACAGAGCTCATGAACGAACATTACATCCCCTGACTACAAGGTGGAAGAGAAGAAGAAGTAGAAGAAGAAGAATTAACAGAAATGTAAAAATTCTCAAGTTAAAAAAAGATGAAAAAAAACATCAAATACTGTTATGATAATCAAAAACTTGCCACAACAAGTAACACTTTTTTTGAATAGTGGTGGTGGGGGGGGGGGGGGTTGTTAAGGAAAAGCACTACAGATACAGGATAATCACTACCAATGGCCAACAAATTACCAGTCTGTAAAGGAAATAAAGCAGAGTACCACTATTATATCCTGACAAACTTTTACAGCAGCAAGCTTGCAAAATGCAACCAATGGTGTAATCTGCAAAGGGTGTGAGTGTTGGAGACCTGTCTGTGTGTTTTTTTTTTTGGGGGGGGGGGGGGGGTTGGTAACAGAAGGCTAAGGAAGAGGATGACTAGGAAGATAGTAAGAAGATGAAGAAGAAGAAGACAATGAAGAAGAAAGACACAAATAATGAAAGGAAGAAAGGTAAGAGGAAGTAATTTAGTAAGAAATAATCTGAAGATAAAAGAGGAAGAGCAGGAGGCAATGAATTAGAGGATAAAGGTTTGGGGTGGGGACAAATAATAATAATAATAACAATAATATTAAGAAGAAGAAAAAGAAGACAATGAAGAAAAAGACAATGAAGAAGAAGAAGAAGAAGAAGAAGAAGAAGACGACGAAAAAGTAAAACACAAAAAGTACTACTCACAATGTCTGTCTGTTGTCCACACAGTTCATCAATGCATACAAGAATGGACTTCTCATGAAAGTCGTCCTTGATGCCCATTTCCTGAAAAGATGCATAAAAACATTGTGGAGCTCCAGGTGCTTCAATGCTACACACGTATCCAAATTGATCAGCCATTGAAGAAACCACCAGGCATCAATGACCTGGACATTAGGGGTAATTGTCCTCAACAAATTCTCTGAAGAGCACTTGGTTTCTTTACTGCCTAATAGCTGACTAATGTTATTATAACAGACAGTGCCTATGGCTGTCTAGTGAATCACAAGTCACCTACAGTTCACAGAATGCTCACTGATGGAAACTCAGGCCTGTAGCAGTGTCAAGTGAATGTTATCTTTGGCAGACAGGGCAGGCACAGCAAATGATTAACTGCACAAAATAACACAAGATCAAATACTGGTTTCAAACCTTCACAATCTTTAAACCCGGCCACAACTTATATACGCCAGCAATCTAGTTTTTATAACATTTATAATATGGTGATAAGAGATGATGAACAGAACAATGATAACAGACAATGAGCACAGACACAACCCAAGATCGTTAGTCTGAATACTCAGCCACACGATATAATCACTGACTTGATGTTCTTGCTCGACCCAGTATAAACTGGATACCAAACACTGTCTGGGAGTCGAGCAGTCAGTGTGACACTAATGCGGCGATATAATCCAATACTGCATCGTCGATGAAAAGTGGGACACTAATGTGGCGATAAAATCCAATACTGTTTCGTCAATGAAAAGTGGGACTAGCACCAAACCATAACAGGTCCTATGGCGTAGCAATGTTCTGTTATTCCGTCTGAGACCACTGGTAACCGTTACTGTGTGAGTCTGAGATCACTGTAACCAAGTGTCAAGTCTGAGACCACTGGTAACCGTTACTGTATGAGTCTGAGATCACTGTAACCAAGACTCAAGTCTGAGACCACTGGTAACCGTTAATGTATGAGTCTGAGATCACCGTAAACCGTTACTGTACGAGTCTGAGATCACCGTAACCAAGACTCAAGTCTCAGACCACTGGTAACCGTTACTGCATGAGTCTGAGATCACCGTAACCAAGACTCAAGTCTGAGCCCACTGGTAACCGCCAGCGAGTGATGACTGGTCATTTCACGGGAACGTTTTTGAAGTCTGCATGGACCAGTCCAGTGTTATCTACAACCCTTTAGTGACTGTCGGCCCAGACTTCTTGGTTTCCGGTTAATATCTTTAGCTGGGGGGGGGGGGGGGGGGGGGGGGCAGAGGGGTAGCAGGTGAAGGGTCTCTCTCTCCTCACAAACATAAACAATATGTCAGCCGGGAGATGCTCTGTATAATATCACAAGCTGGTGAGGATATAAATACAAACGCAGTGCAGGGGAGAGGGTAAGGGAAGGGGGAGGAAATCGGAAGGGGGGGGGGGGAGAGAAATAGAGAGAATGAATGAAACAGCAGTGAAGAATTTCTGTGAAAATAAGGCTTTCCATTCCCTAAAGTTTCTATTCACGACAACCTATACTTAAAACACCCCAATCGGCTTTGGGCAGGCCATTAAACTGTTTAGAAAATCTCGAATGTTAGTTGTATGGCCACCGATGGTGATTGCAGACACAAGACATGCAGTTAAGGGTGGTCCAGGGTGCTCCAACAACGCATATAGCCCGGCTGACTGTGATGAACACCCCATATATCCTGAGTGTAGAAGGATTACATTAACCATAGAATTATATGGGAGCCGAGTGGTGCAGCAGCTAGCAATTTAAACACCTGTCCGTTGATCATGGTTCAAATCTCAATTGAATCTGATCTGCACGGTCACTAAAAAAATGTGGGGAATAAAAGAAGGCGAGGAGGTGTTGATTACGTCACTCCAGGAGTGACCAATCCATGGACACCAGGGGCCTCATTAGCTGACTTTCCACATGATTATTGCAAGGGGGCTGCATGGTCTCCAGGCATGGTGCCCACCTCGAGTGCTAGAGGTTCCGGGTTCAATCCCCGCCAAGTTTGGGATTTTTTTCACACTTCTAGTAATTCCCCCTGGTCTCTGGGTAGTGAGATCAGACGCCCGTGTGCATTGTTGCGCACGTAAAAAATCCCTTGGCAGTTCGAAATCAAAAAAGAGTAGAGTAGCTTATGGCACTGCCCGGGCAAAAATGTTTAGTTTAAAATCTATCCAAAATTATTTGAGGATTTTCGCCGGTGCTACAGAGCTTGTGCACTGTGCTGAACTTCTTCAGACTCTGACTTTAGTTAGAAGAAAGAATGGAGCACTTATGGGTTACTACCCGTGTGCCATGATGTTGATCCCTTGTTCAAAACTCAAACCACAGGATTAATTTCGTTTCCGTTGCACTGCCTCGAGTTTTCAGGTCCACACACAAGAACACTTACTGCCTAGCTCTACTGTATATGTAACTTGCGATGAACTTATACTGTATGACAGTGCGAAGCATTTATGTATGTTTGTGAGAGACATGTTCATGTATGTCCGTATGAGAGAGGAAGACGGGTATGAATTTGTTTTGCAGAAAATAGTTTATGTATGTGTTTGTGTGAGTGAGAATCATGTATAAATGCTGTTTGTTACAATGATGGACACATTAATGTATTTGTCTGTATATTCCTGTCACAGTCAGTCATATTTATCAGTCTGCATGAGACATTAATTGTATGTATAAATGGGAGTCAGTAAGAATCATCTATGTCTTAAAGAGAGCTACAATTATGTTTTATGTGAGAGACAATTATATTATATACAGATTTGTATGCGTTTGTATGAATGAAAAAGATGCATGCTTCTGTGAAAGTCAAGAAACGCCTTGACTAACAACTTATGCGTAGATATCCTGGAAGCCACAAGTTTCCCCGAACGTCACTATACTTTACTCGCGTCTCCCTGTGGCTACCCCAGCCCGAAAACGTGTGCCTGTCATATGTAAGTAACCACAGAAACACTTTATTCACCGCACACCGGATATGCGGTTGTTAAACCGACAATAACGGAAAGCTAGACACCGCACAGAACATAGCCGTAATAAATACTAGTTTATACGGCAGTCATCCTCTATTAACCGTACATGGTTTGTCGTCTATATATTTTATTATAACCTGCGTATACTTATGATCGGTAGCTATAACAGCGTATAATTAATTATCTTGTATAGCTAAAACCGCATATAGTTACCGTGACATACATAAAGACATACAGTTAACGTCGATAGTTTTAACCGCATACACCACAGTTAGGCCCAACATTTACTGTCAACGCCGCGGCGGATCTTACTGCACGAAGAAAATGCAATTTTCAATCCGTCACCAGAACAAGCTTGCCAGAAACAACCGACAATCCAGTCACAGCGGATTGAAGTCAGAATGTACCACACCCACTTAGTAACTTTACTGTAGCCGCACACACAGCTTTACTTAACACAAATATGAATATTCACCAACAAACTCAGCAACTGGATGTTTTAGCTGCCTAGAATCTGCAAGTACCTGCTGGTGCGAGATGTACATTACGGTTCCTTTCTTCCAGCGACCCCATGTACTTCTCTATTCGCCGCCTATCTACATAAGAGTTAAAAATAGCTATTGAACCCCCAGCCTTCCCAAACGCATGCAGAGCTCGGAGCCGATTGGACGGACGAGGCCTGGCGAGGGCTGTGCGAGGTTGGCGGGCCGGGACAACATGGCGCTAAAGGGAGAAAAAAATCCCCCACAGCTATTCTCTCCCCCCCCCCCCCCCCTCTTTCTCTTTCGATCTGTAGACTTCGAGGTCAAAGTTGTAGGCTTTACTGTAAAACTGGTTACATTCACTACAGATATAATCCAGCCATTGTTGGCACATGCAGGCCTGCAAGTAAGGGCTGTAAATGCCACTTGCATTTTCCACTGCCAAAAACAGATTATTTTACTCTTTGTTATTACTGTTTACTATGTACTGTAAATACGCCACTCGGTTTGGTTTGCGCCTTGAACATAGCGGGGGGGGGGGGGTGTGATCGCTGAGTGCTTAAACCACCCATGCACAAACTGACACTTACACATGCGAAATGATCACCCCTTGTGAGTGGGTACATGTTGTATCTACGAAGATGGGGACAAAAATATGTCGTATTTCTAGCAAATAAAGAAACATTCAGGTTCTGCACAGACTGGGAATGAAAAGATAGTTGCTAGCATAAATAAATAGACAAATGAACTGGTCATCACCATTACTAGATAGCACTTTCAAAAACATAAGGGGCAGGACAGAGAAAAAATGTGGGGGGGGGGGGGCGTAAGAAGACATGTAAGCTAGAGGCAGTAAGGCCATGGACGGATAACTTCAAGAGTCTGACAAATAATAGTAATAGGAAGGATAAACAAGGCCCTAGATGAAATAACTTCACGTTTTGAAAGCAGGCCGCTTTGCGCTGATTTCGATATAGAGCACCGACCATTCACTTAGCAAGTGCAAACTGGTTAGTTTCGTATCCTTCACAGGACGTTACAGAGCCAACCCCAGCAGCCCCTGGCTGTTGTGTGGTTTCTCTAGAATAATTTACGTCCATTGCTCCTGGACGGTCGGCCCCCTGATACACTGTCGAAACCAACGCATGGCCTTCAGCTGGGATCGAACCCGGCACCCCGGCATTACGAAGCGTTCGCATCGACTTAGCCATAGAGCCGACTAAGTCAAACTACGGAACATAAAACTGCCTAGTAAATATCACAAACATCCAACAATGTTAAGGTTAGTTTTGCAAGGGCCTGTAAAAGGAAATGCAGCAAATTTGTTTTTCTCTTCCAAAGCAAGATAAGTTTACTGAACAACAAGGGTGACTGGCTCACAGACTTTTGTTTCACCCAAACGGAAATACTTCAGTCATATTCAACGCCATAAAGGTTTGGAAAGTGCAGTAATGGAGGGTATAGTTCAAGAGGGGGGGGGGGGGAACGTCAGGGGCTGACGTCAAGGATTTCCAAAGAAGTTTCATGAGGCCGGAAAGTTGGTAAAGGACCCAATGATCTTCCGGCACAATTCTCCACACGTCCTGCTATATTAAGTCTGTCGTTGCGGTACGCTTGTAAGGAGCCCCGGAACATTGTTTTCAACGATACCACTGAATGTATCGCCATCACAAC